GCTGTGTCACCTGGTGTGCCCAGCCCAGGGTCCACTGCAGTGGTGCCAGCTGGGCTGTGTCACCTGGTGTGCCCAGCCCTGCCAGGGCAGGCATGGTCACACTGCAAAGTGGGCTGGAAGGTCAGTGAAATCACACAGCGTGCTACAACTAAGAAATTACCTAAGAACCCTAATAACTGAGGAAATTGGAGGAAAACCAGGAGTGTCACACCTCTGAATGGCAGAGGTGAATGCTAATGATTTTGAGGCTTTCTTGTGGGCAATAATCTCCATCAACAGGTCCACAGTAGGTGGACTACAATTAAGACCTGTGATGAAGTAACTATCATCATCTGCATAAAGGGAAAGAAAACACACAAACTGAGTTTCAAGGGTACTTGAGTTAGTCTGGCCTCTGTGATTGAATCAGCCAATTAGTTCCTGAGGAAAATCACCCATAGGTCATTACACAGAACTAGTCAGGGGCATCGCTAGGAATTCACCTTGGAGAAGTCATGGAGAGGCACAAAACAATTGGAAAGTGACAGTGCCCATGCTGAACACGGGGGAGGATGGCAGGGTGAGGAATGAAAGGGCAGTTGAGAATGCTGAAACAAATAAACAAGTGATTTGTAAGGCCAGGGAGGACATGAAGGAGATGAACAGCCCTGTGCATGAATCTGTCATGTAAAAATAATATCAAAACAATATCATTTCATTTTGCAACAAGGTAGCAGACCTTGTGGTGAACGGAGAAGGGCAAATCTCATACTTAACCTACTAAGTCTCTGACACTGTTTCTCATATTTTTGTATAAGCTATGGATATAAAATGTAGATTAAACTTCTGTAGGAGGATGCAAGAAAGACAGAGTGACTTAAGCTGGGGAGGAGTTATTGATTGTTTACTGTTCAAAATGGAAGGATGCACAAAACAAAGGCTCTGCCTGGGGATTTGTCCTGAGCCAGCTCTGCTCAATGCCACATGGCTGTGACCTGGAAGATAGGATATAGAGTATTCTCAGTACATTTGCAAATGACCCCCAGCCAGAAGGGACTGCAAATGTGTGGGAGGACAGCATCAGAATTGCAAATAGTCCCAGCAAGCTGGGGAACTAGCACAAACAAGAGGGTGCATTTCAATAAGGGCCTGCAAAAATACTCCACTGCAGAAATACAAGATGGAGGAAAACTGGTTAGCTGGAAGTCCTTTAGGAAAGGATCTAAGAATTATAGTAAATTATACTGAGTGGCAATCAAGAATGCCACAATTTTGAAAGAGACAGGCATGCATAAATAAAGAGATAGTTTGCAAGTTGTGCAGTTTGCTGGGGAAGCTGAGCAGTGTAGGGCAGTGTCCTTCAGGAGGGACCTGCACTCTTGGTAAGGGTCTGAAGGAGAACAGTGGGAAAGGTCAAAGCCTAGAAAACAGGCCTACACAGAACTGTGAATGAGTATTTTTATTTAGCCTAATGCTAAATAAAAGCTAGCTTTGGTGAAAAGACACAAGGAATCAAATGCTTTCTTTGTCCGCAGCTGACAGAACAGAAGCAGTGTGGAGCCCAGCATCCCCAGCCCTGCACAAAAAGGAGCATCAGGGCCAGTTTGTACAGACACTGCAGATGAGGGGTTTTATTAGAGGAAAAAAATTCAAGCCCACTGGAATAATCTGAAACCAGGTTAGCATGGGCTCACACAACTACTTCAATAGTCAAACCTATGATGAGAAGGGCATAGTCAAGATCAACATACAATGATCAAGGAATGTTAACCACTGAATACTTGATTTCAAGGTGTGCCAGTCAATCAAGGTGAAAAAAAAATCATGTCACACAAATCCTACTTCAAGGATAAAAAACCTCCATGATTTGTATTTTCAGGTGATTGCAATATTATGAGAGGTCGGTACATTGAATATTCATAGATTGCCTTAGGCCATGCCTTAAAGTGATCAGAGAAATCTCTGACTGCCCAGCAGTATAATTTTATTTGTTCTTAATTGAAATTTAGGATTGATCAAGCTTTTGTAATTGTCCTTAAAACGCTCCCTTCCTGGACATTTATCATGTCCAACCTCACCTCTGACTGTCTAGCCATGTTTTGTGGGCACTGCTTTTGTGTTAGCTGCACAGAGACTGCTCCAAATCTCCAAAAGGAAGCTCCTTCAAGCACAGGCAGTGGCAAGGAGCCCTTCATTGCCATGCCAAACCCTCCAACTCCTGTAAACCACTTTGAGAGTGATGACTCTTCAGCTGAAGCACAGCACTGCAGCCACCAGGAGCCCTCTGGATCCATGGGATCCTGCTGGGATCCAGTGGTGGAGAGGGACATCAGGGCACTGCCCTGACACAGCTCATTTCCAGCAACCCACCCCCACTGCCTGCTTCACAACCACCCTGCTTTTTGTGGCTTATAGCCATAATGACAATATCCATCCTGACAAACTCCCACATCTCATTATGACAGTAGGCACAGCACTGGAAAATTAATGAATTAGCAGGAGGAGAAAACTACTCATTTGGAAGAAAACTTCTGGAGCAATATAAAGCTGCAGGAAACCTGCCTGATTTGTCTGTTGGCAAGTTCTGCTACTAGCTTTAAATTAACACTGCAAGTGTTCTCAACTGATTCTCTACAGGAACTAGTCAAGTGAACCTGAGCACACCTGTAATTGCACATTGAAGTTACTCAGACCTCAGTTTTATGTCTTGGAACAAATTAGGTTTATTTTTAGGTTTTTATCTTCACCTGAATCCAAAGCTACAGCTACAGCTTTGTAATGTTAAATTCACAAAGGTCAAAATCAGAAGAAAATTATTGCAGCAGCTGTTTTGAAGTGAAACATGCATTTTACAGAGATCTGCTGGTAATGTTTTGTTCTGCTTCTCTGTTCTTGCACAATTTTCTGTGCAAAGAGACTCTTTTGACATTGACATTGTATTCTGCAAATGCTGGCTAGGAACAACTTCTCCAGCTTACACAAGGTTTTTAAACCTAACATTTTTTTTTTTATTACCTTCATCCCTCCCATGTCAACTTAGCAGTGATTGAGAAAGGCTAATTGGGGTTTTTGGGTTTACCTTACATCTTGAGTGTAATAATGTGGATCTATTTGTTTTGTCAGATTAGGGTGGTGTAAGAGCTAAGGAAATTTTTATGTTATTACAGCTTCAGTATTCAAGTTAAGACATGATGAAGAAGAGGAAACTTTAAAATATGGAAAAAATGTGGAAATCGGAGCTCTTTGAAACTATATATAAACTATGTAAAATTTTAGAACTATATAAGGCATCCCACATGCTTGCTCCTGTTGCTAAGAGCAATCTGGAAGTCAAATTCAACAAAAGCTCTCACCCCAAGTAATTCACGTCTCAGTCACTATCAAAACCTCTAAAATATGTCAGATCTTACAGTCAGCTCTAATTAAGAGTGACAGGTGACAGGATTTAGCTCCTCCTAATCTTGGTAGCATAGTACCTACATTTTCTCTCAGCTTTTCTTTGTGTGCCAAACTTTGCAGTTTCCCGTACCAGGTGGATGGTCCCCATTCCTGGGCCCTGCTGTCCTTTGTGGTGCTCTTCTGGAGGCTGGCATTCACCAGAGACACTCAGAGCAGCCTTCAGATGTTTTTACTCCCCCTGAAAGACCAACCCAGTGCTCGAGCAGCACAAAGTGAGGCAGTCCTGCAGATGGGTTCAGCATTAGCAGGCTCAGCTGGAGTGGGACCAGGAGACCAAAGCAGCAGCTGACAAGACCTTCCACATCTCCAGCATGTGGGGATCATGGGTTTAATTTGGATTAGATTGTTCTTGATTTTTCCTTGGGGAATCAAAACTTTGTGAAGAGAAAAAGCATTAGGTGCACTCTAAAACACTCTTCTGGTACGTGGTGCAGTTCAGAGCCCAGTGTCCTGTTAAACACCAGGCATGATCAGATGGTCACCATCAAATCAAGCCACTGCCATACCTAAACCACTGTGTCCAAGGCTCACCTTCTTCACTCCTCTGTCCCAAATCGTTGGGAAGTTTCTTAAGGTAACTGGGGAGGAATGTTGCAGATGCCTTGAAAGTCAGGATATCATGCAAATCTGTCAATCTCAGTTATAAAGTGCCTTAATTATGCCCCACTATGTTCATTACATAGGTCTTATTCCCATTTGAAATGCATTCAGCTCCCAGTACAACCATGACATTTGATTACCATAAGATTTTTAGGAAAGGGTAGCACTGCTGACTCAAAGAAGTCTTCCTGAGCTATTTCAG